TTGCTAACAGTTCTCAAATTGCTTCAGCTAGTTCCTTTAGTGCCCTAGAATAAATTTCATCAGGCCCTACTGACTTGAACGCATCTAAGTTACCTAAATATTCTTTAATCTGTTCTTTCCCTATTTTGGCTTCCACTCCTTCTCCCTTGTTGTTAATATTAATTGTGTCACAATTAACCTTTTTAGTGAGGACTGAAGCAAAATAAGATCCTCATGCTCCTCAGCAAGGGCATAAAAGGGTTGATACTAACCGACATTAGAGTCCCCTCAACCCAGATGAAGGACTCCAACGTAGAGGGGATGGTAGGCAGGTCATGGAAAATTATATATATATATATATATATATATATACACACACACACACACACACACACATCACATCTCAAAGAACTCCAATTACAGTACAGGTGAGTAACTTCTCAGTCTTCTCTGAGTGACTGTCCATATGGATATTTCATTATTGGTGACTCCCAAACAGTGGACCACTGCATTGGAGGTGATAGGTCAGAGTCTAGAAGAATGAAGATTGGAATACTGCCCTGCCAAATGTAGAGTCTGACCTGGAGGCTTTTGTAAATCTATAGAGCTGAGTGAATATGTGAACACAGCCCCAGGTAGCTGCCTTGCTGATTCTGCTTGCACTCTTGTAGAGGAAGCTTTAAGAGGCAATAGGCAGGCCCTACTTCACTAGGCCAGAACAAACTTTCACACAGCCAGATCTCCATTTAGGAAATGTTGGGGAGATATAACTTTGCCTGTTGTCCTTTCCACAATTGCTACAAAGTGTCTTGGTGAAGATCTGAATTGCTTCATCCTTTGTGGATAGACCAGCCCCGGCATTCTAACATCCAATGTGTGGAGAGCAGCCTCCACCTTGCAAGCATGAGGATTAGAAAAAATACAGGTAAGTGAATTTGCTGGGTTAGATAGAACTCCATAATGCTGTTCTTTGATAAATACTTCAGGGGTGTTCTTCAAGGATACACTATCAGGATGGAAGGCTGCATAAGAAGGGTCAGCTATCAGGACTTTGATCTCCTCTAACCTTCTCGTTGAGATAATGGCCCGTGACTACCTACTCATGATTTGGTGAGCAATGTCTGTGGTTGTGCAGCAGTTCCAGAGTTTATACAGCAGGAGTAGTTTGGATGTCAAAATAGCAAGAGTTTCTTACCTTTGAGGGCATTGTTAACCCATTCATTAGTTCCCAGGCCAGAGTATTTCTGTGTGAGAGAAAACATGCTCACAAGATCCCAAAACAGAGAGAAAGAGAAAGAGAGAATATGTATTAGGGCTGTCAAACTATTAAAAAGATTAATTGCACTATTAAACAATAGAATACCATTTATTTAAACAGTTTGGGATGTTTTTCTAAATTTTCAAATATATTGATTTCAATTACAACACAGAATACAAGATGTACAGTGCTCACTTTTTATTTTGTATGATAAGTGTTTGCACTGTAAAAAACAAAAGTAATAGTATTTTTCACCTCATACAAGTACTGTAGTGCAATCTATCATGAAAGTTGAACTCACAAATGTAGAATTATGTACAAAAAAACTGCATTCAAAAATTAAACAATATAAAACTTTAGAGTCTACAAGTCCACTCAGTCCTACTTTTTGTTCAGCCAATCACCCAAACAAGTTTGTTTACATTTGCAGGAGATAAGGATGCAGGGTTCTTGTTTACAGTGTCACCTGAAAGAGAGAACAGGTCTTCACATGGCACTGTTGTAGATGGCATCGCAAGATATTTATGTGCCAGATGCATTAAAGTTTCATATGTCCCTTCCTGCTTCATCAACAATTCCAGAGGATGTATGTCCATGCTGATAATGGGTTCTGCTTGATATACATGCAAAACAGTGCGGACCAACGCATGTTCATTTTCGTCCCGAGTCAGATGCCATCAACAGAAGATTGATTTTTTTTTTTTTGGTGGTTCAGGTTCTGTAGTTTCTGCATCTGCGTGTTGCTCTTTTAAGACTTCTGAAAGCATGCTCCACACCTCGTTCCTCTCAGATTTTGGAAGGCACTTCAGATTCTTAAACCTTGGGTTGAGTGATGTAGCAATCTTTAGAAATCTCACATTGGTACCTTCTTTGCATTTTGTCAAATCTGCAGTGAAAGTATTCTTAAACGGAACAACATGTGCTGGGTCACCATCCAAGGCAGCTATAACATGAAATATATGGCAGAATGCTGGTAAAACATACAATTCTCCTCCAAGGAGTTCAGCCACAAATTTAATTAATGCATTTTTTTTTTTAACAAGAATCATCAGCATGGAAGCATGTCCTCTGGAATGGTGGCCGAAGCATGAAGGGGCATACAAATGTTTAGCATATCTGGCATGTAAATACCTTGCAACGCCAGTTAAAAAAGTGCCATGCGAATGCCTGTTCTCACTTTCAGGTGACATTGTAAATAAGAAGCAGGCAGCATTATCTCCCATAAATGTAAACAAACTTGTTTGTCTTAGCGATTAGCTGAACAAGAGGTAGGACTGGGTGGACTTGTAGGCTCTGAAGTTTTACATTGTTTTGTTTTTGAGTGCAGTTATGTAACAAAACAAAAAAAATCTACATTTGTAAGTTGCACTTTTACCATAAAGAGATTGCACTACAGTACTTGTATGAGATGAATTGAAAAATACTATTTCTTTTGTTTGCCATTTTTACAGTGCAAATATTTGTAATAAAATATAAAGTGTGCACTGTCTACTTTGTATACTGTGTTCTAATTGAAATCAATATTTGAAAATGTAGAAAAACCTCCAAAAATATTTTTAAAATTTCAATTGATATTCTATTGTTTAGCAGTGCGATTAAAACTGCGATTAATTTTTTGAGTTAATTGCATGAGTAAACTGCAATTAATTGACAGCCCGTGTGTGTGTGTGTGTATTATATATATACATATAAAAAAGAGAGAGAGAGCGTGCGAGTGCTAACAGGATGTGGCAGTTAAAATTGTATTTAAACAAAATTTGAGACACTCCTGAGGAACCAGAGCTGTAGACTTCCTGTTTTCCCTGCTAGACAGACAGATGATAAAACAAAGTTGAAAGACAGTCCATTGTTTTAAATCCCTATTTTTACTCAATTGCTGCAAATTCTGACCCTTCCCCCTTGGTCTGTAAATACAATAGTTAGATTCAGCAAGGTGGTTTTTGTGTATGGAAAGCATCAGGGATATCAGTGAAGTTTTTCAGTCACAGGGGTCTGATATTAAATACTGTGGTCAAGTAACTAAAAAAAATGGTTCATGCTTAAACTTTACATTTGCTGGAACTTAAATTCAGATTCTCAAAGGTATTTAGGTGCCTAATTGCTATTGAAATCATGAGATAAGCACTTCTAAGAATCTGGGCCTTAGTCCTTACTGAAATGAAGAAAGTTGGCCCACAAATGAAGTTCTAAGTGACTGAAAAGGACATACTGGATATGTAGTACTATTCTGGCTCTGAAAGTGTCCAGAATAATTGAACAGTTGATATGATGCATGCCAATTGCTAAGTTAACTTTTGGGGTTATGAAGGTAAGATTTGCAGCTTAGAATTTTTATTTGGAAAATAACTGTGTAAAAAGTAACTCAATTTTATCATATAAATATAGACGATACAATTTTCAGAGTTGGGCAGGACCCAGATTTTCCATTTCATGGAAGTTTCCACAATTTCAAAACTTTTTCTGAAATCGGACAAAAAAAATTTCAAAATTTCCCATGCTACAACTGTGTTGTGGATCAACTGAAACATTTTGTTTCAATTTTGACATTTTTATTAAAAAAATATAGAATATATAAAGAAAGAAATTTTGAAACAAAAAACTGAAATGTTTTGTTCCGAAAATGTCAAAACAGAACACGTTGACCCTACTGAAATGCTTTTTTCCCCTTTAGTCTTCCCCCAAATGAAATTTTGTCAATATTGACACATTTCTGCAATATGTTTCTCTTTCAGTGAATCAGCACTTTCTGATGAAAGTGTTCCACTGGAAAATTCCTGATCAGCTCTAGTCCTGAGCACCAACTTCCACTGATTTCAGCTTTGACTTGTAGGTGCCTAGCATCCCCGTAGGAAAAACAAAAAAAGGCCTGTAAACCATATCAGAGTTTATTATTTATATTAAATTTGAGTGGGAGTAATTCTGAAAGATGCTGTAGTCCTCTGTGTTCTTGCAAAAGAGTACAGTATATTTCACCTCCAATTTATTGGTGTCATTTTTAATGACCTTCAGACACTTATCGCTCTGTTGTTTAAATCTTCTTGTAGCTTTTCCAAAGTTCTGAAAAACACTGGAGCAGCAAGTGATGAACGGTAACTAAATACAGTTGTTCGGCTGTAAAAACAAAGCAGCAAAAATAAAAAAAATGTAGGAGCACAACTATGAATTATTAAAATAATGGTGAGGATATGTGTGTTATATTTAAATCAAATTCTGTAATTGAAAATCTGAATGATATGAAACATCTGTTTATGTTAGCAGTCTCTCAATTAAAAAAATCCTCTTAAAAACCTTAATTAAAATATAGCTAAATAATAGCACTACTTAATATTACTGTATATTATCATGTAAGATATTTGAAAGAGCAACTATATAGCAGACATGAATACGTGTGAAGTTCAGAGCTCTCAAATATATAATGAACGTACACATTTTTAAATAGTATGTGTACATTCATATAAATTGTATGTATATATGCAGATATACATGCATATGTGTAGTGTGTCTATAAAGAAAAATCTTAAAGATTTTTTCAACAATCTCATGTTTAAATTTTCAGAGCAGCTAACAGAGATTTCTTTTGCCTCCTTAAAGGTTAGACCTTTTACCCTTTATATACTGCACATTCATTCATACTGAAGTCATCATGCAATAAACTATGGTAGATCTTTAAGAAGATCCTCAATTACCAAGACATATGCAATAAGATGTCTTTATAAATATCTCTCCAAAACAAAAATACATTTAAATTCTTTAACACAGAAAATGGTTAAGCAAGATGGCATAAAATTTATTGATATTTTCTTTTACTAAGGCACATGACATAGAAATACTGCGGTACAAAAATGCAAACTTCTGCATATGAGATTTAAAATATAATCTCATTCTGAAAAATAGAAATAAAACTCTTTTGCTCAGAAGATTCAGCTTTTAGCCATTTTCTTCTTTTGTACCAGTTCAACAAGCAACTTGTATCTTGCCACACACTCATCCTGCAAAAAACAAAAAAAGACAGTTTTTATCTTTTTAAAGCATGAACTATGATTTAATATCTTCATATTACTTCTACTGTACACATTCTCTCTTGTAAAATCAGTTAAGTTGTTTTAAAAGTAGTTTTTCTATTTTAAAAAAACGTAGAAGAATATTCACCCATGTATTGAGCTTTCCGAAGGCAAGGGCAATCTACACATAATGAAAAGTGGATTACAAAAAGAATTTTCAGTTTGGGGTTCATTACAGATAACTGATGTTGTTAGAGACCAGAGAAAAATAGGAGAAAATTTGCCTTATATTGATAGTCTCTTTCTTGACAGTGTTTAGCAGAATAATTATTAAAATAGGGAAGTAGCACAGTTTTGTATTATTGTCAACAGTGTGTCTGAAAAATGATTTTCTCGCTCTTGGGGTTTGTCAACCTTGGAAATTTACCAAAATAGCTATCCAAGTGTAGACTCTGGGACAGCTATTTCATAAATTTCCAAGCATAGACAAGTCCTTACCATCACTTTAATGTAGCAAACCCATCCTAGAATGTGAACTGCCAGACAATTTTGAGATCTAAAAAGACTGTTTCTGGAACCCCACCCACATTTCCTCCTCCCTAACATTGAACTTTTGGTGCAAGTAAGATGATGATATCCTGCTGTTTCAGGCATCAACACTGGATTGCACTGCAAACTGAACTGTCACGAATACTGGGTTCTTACTGAACCTAACCAGTGACAAAGTAGAGGTCACTGATCATGGACACATTGCCTCTGTTAGCTCTGCCCAGGGCTTTTCTTCCATATAATCTAGTAGGTTTATAATTTCAGCTTCTCCATATGCTTTTGCTTCACTGTCTGGAAATTTAAGAACAGGCATACTGGGTCAGATCAAAGGTCCATCTAGTCCAGTATCCTGTCTTCCAACAGTGGCCAATGCCAGGTGCCCCAGGGGGAATGAACAGAACAGGTAATCATCAAGTGATCCACCCCATCACCCATTCCCAGCTTCTGGCAAACAGAGGCTAGGGACACCATCCCTGCCCATCCTAGCTAATAGCCATTGATGAACCTATCCTCCATGAACTTATCTAGTTCTTTTTTTTGAACCCTGTTATAGCCTTGAACTTCACAACATCCTCTGGTAAAGAGTTCCACAGGGTGACTGTGCGTTATGTGAAGAAAAACTTCCTTTTGTTTGTTTTAAACCTGCTGCCTATTAATTTCATTTGGTGACCCCCTAGTTGTTGTGTTATGTAAATGACACTTCCTTATTTACTTTCTCCACACCAGTCATGATTTTATAGACCTCTATCATATCCCGCTTAGTCGTCTCTTTTTCAAACTAAAAAGTCCCAGTCTTATTAATCTCTCCTCATACGGCAGCTGTTCCATACCCCTAATCATTTTTGTTGCTCTTTTCTGAACCTTTTCCAGTTCCAATAAATCTTTTTTGAGATAGGGCGACCACATCTGCACGCAGTATTTAAGATGTGGGCATACCATGGATTTATATAGAGGCAATATGATATTTTCTGTCTTATTATCTATCTCTTTCTTAATGATTCCCAACATTCTGTTTGCTTTTTTGAGTGCCGCTGCACATTGAGTGGATGTTTTCAGAGAACTATACACAATGACTCCAAGATCTTTTTCTTGAGTGGTAACAGCTAATTTAGACCCCATCATTTTATATATATAGTTGGGATTATGTTTTCCAATGTGCATTACTTTGCGTTTATCAACACTGAATTTCATCTGCCATTTTGTTGCCCAGGCACCTAGTTTTGAGAGATCCTTTTGTAGCTCTTCGCAGTCTGCCTGGGACTTAACTATCTTGAGTAGTTTTGTATCTTCTGCAAATTTTACCACCTCACTGTTTACCCCTTTTTTCAGATCATTTATGAATATGTTGAATAGGACTGGGCCTAGTACAGACAGACCCCTGGGGACACGATTTACCTCTCTCCATCACTTATATAAAGAAAAATTATGACATCTAAAATATTCTAGTATACTGGAATATTAAATAGGTTATTGAGCATTATAACACATGCATTAGAATTACTTCTTTTAATGGTTCATTCAGCAAATCTGAACTGCAGAAGGTGCTACTGATAACCTGCCCTGCTCACATTTTCAAACATTCAGTCACCAAATGCGACCATCAGAATTGTTGAAAACTACAATCTACATTCCTCCAGCCTTTCACGTTTTTAATTGTGGGTAAAGACAGGTACTTTAGAAGAAATGGCAGGCAGTTCAACTTAATTTTTCCAACACAAAGCAAAAAATTAAATTAAACAAAAATAAAGTATCAATATATATGGTGACAATAGCCTTTGAGTTGGGCCCTTTGAGTTATCTGATAGTGACAGGCTGGATTAAAGACCTCAGGCTGGTAGCTAATTGGTAGGAAAAGCCCTGCCCAGATGTCATATTGGTTTATTATTAGTCTAATCCCATACAAAACAATGACCCTACCTTACTTTTTCCTGGGACGCATTTTGCTATCTTATCCCAGCGGTCTGATGTTCCCTTTGGATACTGCTGTAAGGCTAGTTCAAGAAGTTTCTGTTGATTTTGAGTCCACAATTCTTCGGAATTGTGGCTTTTCTCTTTTTTTCTGTTCTCATCATCGCTATATTCATCCTGTTCTGTGTTGTTAAAGTCTTTCTGACGCTTTCCCCTGCATTTATCTTCTGCCACCTCTTTCATCGTTGCTAGAGTTATTTCAGATGCTTTGGCTGTTTTTCGCTTGCGGTGTCTGGTTTCGCTTGTCATGGTCTCTCTGTGATCTGCTGGAATAACCATCTGTTCTGGGTCACGATTATAGTTCTCCTCCTCCTCCTCCTCTTTCTCCTCCTCATCTATTTCTCGCTGCGTAATTATATGGTCTGGCAAATCCATGTTGGTTTTGGCATTTCTGGAATTCTGGGCCAAGTTTCTAAGCTCAGAGAGTCTAACAATTCCTGTTGGAAATAACATTATATGTAAAAACCACTGAAGTCAAATGAAAAGGGAACTGGGTGGTGACAAGTAAACTATAGCTGAGAGACAGAGCAGGGAGAGCCCTTGTGGTTGAGAAACCGGGTTACAGAGTCCCCCAGAAACTAGAAGAACTGGAGAGGCAGGGGTTGTGGCATAACCCCCTCTCAGTGGGCTGGTAGCCAGTCAAAATGAGTGTAGGAACAAACAAAATATTACAGGAGTTCTGAGGCTCTCCTCTGCTCGAGCATTTCAAAATGCGAAGAGCAAATTTCCGGATTTCAGAAGATTTTAAAACTTTTTTTTTAAAAAAAGATCATTCTCCCTCGAGTAATCTGCCAATGACAAATTCATCACCTTCAAACCACAGGCCAAAATATATTTTGGGCTAGATTCACAAAGAGGACTTAGACTCGGTGTTACAATGCCTAACATTAGGTGTCCTGCCACCCAGTAGAAGCCTCAGCCCCAAATTAGGTGCCCAGGCTTACTATATAATACATGGGGAAAGTTAGGTGCCTGACTATAGGATTCATAACAGCCAAAAAGCTGAGTAGGGAGTGTAATCAGGCGCGGACTCACCCCTGCGGCGCCTCCTACTGGTCGTCTCGGGAATTAGCTCACCAGTCACCGGAGAGCCCTCTGCAGGCCAGATGTCCCGCCTGTCGTTGGCCCCCGTGTCCCTCGCGGACCCCGGTGTCCTTGGCTTGGGTGCTGCCCGCCCGGCAGTACCCCACTCTCTCTCTGGGTCTCCCCACCTCGACCCCCTATCCCCACCTTGCCTCAGTGTAAGGCTACTGCCAGTCACCAACTAGCCCCCGTTCCCTGGGGCAGACTGCAGTGTATGCCACTCATCACTGGCAAGGGGGGTTTGGCCTGCTGCCTTCTTCCACCCTCAGTACCTCTATGGGCCTAGAACCAGACCCTACAGCCTGGGGAGTTACCAGCTTGGAGCTCCCCTGCTCCTCTGGCTTTTCCCCAGCCCTGCCTCACTCCCAGGTACCTCTCAACCTTCCCCAGCAGCCAGGCCTGTCTCCCTCCACAGCTAGAAGAGAGCATGCAGAGCTTATGGCTGCCCTGACCTTCTTACAAGGCCAAGTTGCTCTGTTTGGGGTGTGGGCGCAGCTGCAGCCACTTCGCCAATCAGCCGGGGTTTTGCTCCTTTCCCCAGCCCCAGCCCTCTGCAGGGCTTTTCCAACCCCTTCAGGGCTGGAGCGCTACAGGAGCCACCTAAGTTAGCCAGCAGGAAATGCTGAGCAGAGGGGTAGGGCCAAAGCCCCATCCCTCAAAGGGAGTCAGGCGCCTAATTCCAGGCCAGTGGGAGGCGCCTATCTCCACTTGGGGTTCATGGCTGTGAACCCTCTCCTAGAGTTAGGTAAGCCCTTTCCCACAAAAAATGGTGGTGTTGCCACACCCCACCCTTAGCACTCAGAGCACTCACCCAGGATGTGGAAGTCCCAGGTTCAAATATCCCCTGCCTGATTTGGAGCAGTGACTTGAACCCAGGTCTTCCCCCTCCCTCCCGCCCCCGCCCCCTGATGAATGCTCTAATCACTGGGCTATAGGTATTCTGCAGTGGGTCTCTCTCAATCTCTCCTGTTAAAACTCTTACACACTTTTTATAAAATACTCAAATAGCCATTGGAGCAGGGACTGGAACCTTTGTCTCCAGGAAGTATGTGCTAATCACTAGGCTACAGAGTCATTCTCACTCTCTCCCTGGCCTAGAGTTTAGGCACTGAGTAGCTCAGTGGCAGCAGGACTTAGATGGCTTTGTGCATGCCACTGGAAGAAATGTAGGCACCTTGGGGAGTTTACTGGGGGGAAATTAGGTGCTCAGGGAATGTAGGAGTGTACAAGGTTAGGTGACAGCTGAAAAGGGGTTTTGAGGATCCCTTTCAATGGAATATTTTTGTGAATTCTGATACATAGCTTTCTCCAGCTATGAATTATATAATTCAGAATGGCCAGTTATACTAATGTACTAGATTGAGAAGAAGGGACTGGGTGACTATTTTGAGCAAATTTAGAGCTAAGGAATAAATGCAAGGGAAATATAATCAAAGAGCACAAACACCTGAAATAAAAAAATCACTAAACTTTGCATGGGTCTTTCCTCTCCCCCCTCTTCGATTTGCTTATCCCCCTTTTCTCTCCTTCCATATCCAAATCAGTCCATAATAGCCATCTCTTCTTCTCATTTTTCTGTTTTTTTCTGTTATTCTTTCCTTTATAGTTCATAATCCTCTCTCCTCTCATTCCTTGTCTTTCATATTTACCCCATTCTCTATTGTCCAACACTCCCGCCTCATTTTCTCCTAGTGTAAATGGTCTTGTTTCCCTTGGTTCATTTCTGTTCTTTGTTCATCCTGTATCCACTGGATGCCTTCCCACATCTTTCAATCTCATTCTACCCCCTTCCTCCTCAAATCTTCTTTGGGAGAGGTAAGAAATAAGCAGGATTGGAGAATTTTAGAAAATTGTAAACTTTCATCATTCCTGGAAAGATTAATCTACTGTAACATTTATTGGCTGCAGGGCCGGCTCCAGGCACCAGCCCAGCAAGCAGGTGCTTGGGGCGGCCAAGGCAGCACGTTGGGCTCTTCGGCGGCGGGTCCCTCGGTCCCTCTCGGAGGGAAGGACCTGCCGCCAAATTGCCACCGAAGAAGAAAGCGGCGCGGTGGAGCTGCCACCAATCACGATCGCAGCTTTCTCCCCCCCCCCCCCCCCCCACCGCTTGGGGTGGCAAAAACCCTGGAGCCGGCCCTGATTGGCTGATTGCGGTTTGGAACTAGTTGTCTCATCGCAGTCACATAAGAAACTGAGCATGTATGTTCCATCCTAGCTGCAAAGGGTGCCGTCAGATCCTTGTGTGACTAATTTAGTGGCCCTCTCATGGCTCTTGTGAGGGGTTTAGGAAACCCTGTCCCTCACCCATCCTATTTAAATATGGAAGTTTTGGTAGTATTGGCATGTGAGTGTGGATTAAAATATGCTTTCTGAGAGCATGTATGGGATTAAAACTTGACTGCCTTCCCCAAACATTCAAGCACACACAGAGAAAAGGTGACAAAATAGATAGAGTTCATTTTAAATTTGAGCAAATAATGAAAAGTTTTTCTGGTATTCGCTGAGCTCGAGTAGATAGATATTATTTAATTATGGCAAGAACTGCAAATCCAGAACATTTAAAAATTGATTACTCACTCAAACTATTAAACAATAACCCACAGAAATAAGCAAGGGTTAAAATAAAATAAATTGGAATTTGGCAAGGGTTGAAATAGCTTCCCAGCCCCAGAAAAAGAAATAAAAAGCTTTACAATAAATAAAATAGGAACAACTTGACATGGGGTTAAATACATTGTTAAAAGTCCTGTACTGTATTCCCCAAGCCTATATGCCTTTGTCTGTCAGTCATCCTAACTGCAAACTCTTTAGGGCAGGGATTTATCTGGTTTTTTTTGCATATCTGAATTGACTAGCACACTGAGGACACCATTATAATAAATAAATAGAATAATAATACCCTAGAAAGAGCCTTTACACAGCCACCACTAAAGGGGAGGACTTCCTCAGAATGCCCATCAACCTTGGTGTCTGCTGAGAGTAGGAGCATGGAGCTTCTACAGCCAAGACCATAAACATCACCTTGAAAGCTGCAAAATGGCCTATACATTGGAAACCCACCATATAAATAATTTGTTATTAACCGCATTGATTAGGACTTAGGGTCACACACCTGGAGTATGTGTAACAGATTCCTTCAGTTGCTTGGTCTTCAAGGTAACCTGTTTTTTAAAAAAAGTCCAAATTAAAAACTGCACTGTTAACACTAGATTATTCATTCAGGCTTTTAAAGATGTCATGAACAGCTTACCCCCAAATACTAACATTTTAACATGTACAAAATACTACCATGGTATCCTACTAATGCTCTTCTGCGAGGTCTTATTCAGCAGGCCATGCCAGTTTTAAATTGCTAATAGCTGATTTTTCAGGCTTAGTCTGAAGGGGAAAGGCAGGGAAAAAACCAGGGGTAACGTCATGGCAGGGGCCTATTATAGACTGCCAACTCAGGAAGAGGAGGTAGGTGAGACTTTTCTAGAACAAACAACAAAAATATCCAAAACACAAGAACTGGCAGCAACGGGGGACTTTAACTACCCAGACATCTGTTGGAAAAGTAATATGGCAAAACACAAAATGTCCAGTAAGTTCTTGGAATGGACTGGGGATACCTTTTTGTTCCAAAAGGTGGAGGAAGTACCTAGGGAGCAGCCATTTTAGACTTGATTCTGACTAATGAAGAAATTGGTTGGAAATCTGAAAGTGGAAGGCAAGTAGGGTGAAAGTGATCATGATATGATAGGCTTCATAATTCCACAGAAAGGAAGGAATGAGAGCAACAGAATAAGGACCATGGACTTCAAAAACACAGACTTTAATGAACTCAGAACTGCTGGTAAGGCCCCATGGGAAGAAAATCTATGGGATACAGGAGTTCAGGAGAACTGGATGTTTCTCAAAGAGACAATATTCAAGGCAAGACAGCAAATTATCCGGATGGAAGGAAATATAGGAAAAAATAGTAAGAGGACAATATGGCTTCTACTTAAGCGCTTTAATGACCTGAAAATCAAAAAAGAATCCTACAAAAACTGAAAACATGGACAAACTGCAACGGAGGAGTACAAAAAATAGTACAAGCATGTAGGGACAAAATCAGAAAGGCTAAAGCACAAAATTAGTTACATCTAGCAAGGAACAGAAAAAGCAGTAAGAAGGCTCTATAAATACATTAGGAGCAAGAAAATGCTGAAGGAAAGTGCATGTCCACTACTTCGTAAGGAAGGAGTCCTAACAACAGAGGACATCAAGAAGGCTGAGATGTTTAATGCCTATTTTGCTTCAGTCTTCACTAAAATGGTTACTTGTGACCAGATGCTTTAACACAATTAACAGTAACAAAAAGGGGAAAGGAACTCAAGACAGAATAGGGAACAAACAGATTAAAGAATATTAAGATAAATTAGATGTATTCAAATCAGCAGGGCCTGACAAAGTTCATCTTGGAGCTCTTAAGGAATTAGATGAAGCAATCTCAGAACCATTAGCAATTATCTTCAAGAACTCATGGAGGATGGGTGAGGTTCTAGAGGACTCGAGAAGAGCAAACTTAGTACCCTGCTTTAATTGGGCAAATTGGACCCAGGTAAATACAGACCAGTCAGCCTAACTTTGATGGCTGGAAAGATACTGGAACAAATTATTAACCACTCAATTTGTGGACAGAGAAAAATAGGGTGATTAATAGCCAATATGGATTTGTCAAGACCAAATCATGCTGAACCAACCTAGTTTCCTTCTTTGATAGGTTATTGGCCTAGTGGATGTGGGAAGCAGAAGACATTATTTATCTTGATTTTAGTAAAGCTTGTGACGTGCTCCCACATGACTTTCTCATAAGCAAACTAGGGAAAATATGGTCTAGATGAAATTATCATCAGGTGAGTGTACAATTGGTTGGCAAACTGTACTCACACTAGTTATCTATGTTTCACTGTCAACTAGGGGCTGTCCTTGGTCTGGTATTATTCAAAGTTATCATTAAAGGCTTGAATAATGGAGTGGAGAGCATGCTTATAAAATCTGCAGATGACTAGCTGGGAGGGGAACAGGATAAAATTCAAAAGGACCTCGATAAATTGGAGAGAGGTTCAAAATCAACAAGATGAAATTCAGTAAAGGCAAGCACCAAAGTATTACACATAGGAAGGAAAAAAATCAAATGCACATCTACAAAATGTGAAATAACTGCAGAAAATGATCTAGTGGCTATGTTGGATCACAAGTTGAACATGAGTCAACAATTAGATGCAGCTGCAGCAAAAAAATCTAATATTCTGGGATGTATCAACAGGAGTGCCATATGAAAGACACTCCTGGTAACTATCTCACTCTAGCTGGCACAGGTGATGCCTCAGTTGGAGTACTAGGTCTAGTTTTGGGCATCCCATTTCAAGGAAGATGTTGACAAATATTTAAGATTCCACAGGAGAGCAACAAAAATGATGGAAGGTTCAGAAAACCAGACCTATGAGGAAAGGTTAAAACAACTGGGCATATTTAGTCTTGAGAAAAGACAACTGATGGGGGACCTGATAACAGTCTTCAAATACATTAAAGGCTGTTATAAAGAGGATGGTGATCAATTGTTCTCCATGTCCACTGAAGGTCGGACAAGAAGCAATGGGCTTAATCTTGTGGAGTCCAGAAGCCATGAGCTATATGATCATTGAGGTGCACTTCCCAATCCAGTAGTGAGGCATCTGTAATGAGTTTCTTTGTGGATGGTGGGGAAACAAAGGGAACCCCTTTTGTTTCCTACCAAATGAGGGATCTGAGGACACTTAGAGAAAGTGAAACTCATTTATCCAGGGTGCATTTGCTTGAGCAGAGACCATCCACAACCATGTTTGGAGGCCTTGGAGGCGGAGCATTGCAAAACATGTCACATAGGTGTAGGTGGTCATATGGTGTAGAAGGACGAGGCAGAACAGGACAAGCATCTGTAGGCCGAGACAGAGTTGGACAATGAGGTCGCTCATTGCAAGGAATCTGTTCTCTGGTAAGTATGCTTTGTCCAGAACTGAGTTCCGATTTGCTCTGGTAAACTCTATAACTTGCGGGTGGGTGAGGGGTTAAACTGGACTTTTCTAGATTTACCTGAAGTCCCAATGAGTGAAAAAAGTCGAGTACTGAGAAGACCACTATCTGTACCTCCTGATACCATTCAATCTGTGAGCAGCCAGCTGTCAAGTTAAGGAAATACCAGGTTGCCTTGACAATGCTGATATGCTGCTATCATGGAGAGCATCTTCGTAAAAACTCTCAGTGCCTCCGAGAGGCCAAAGGGAGAATTCTGTATTGAAAGTACCCTCGGCCCATCGTAAAGCACAGTAATCACCTGTACTCTGAAGGAATGTCTATATGATAGAAAGAATCCTTCAAAATTGAGGGCCACAAACCAGTTGCCTTCATTTAGGGAAAAGATTACTGAGGCCGAGTGGGTCATCCTGAATCTTAAATGGTGTATGAAGACTTTCAGCTGTCTGAGATCTAGAATGGGTCTCCAGCCCAACCTTCTTTTTGGAGATGAGGAAATATCTTGAGTAAAAGCTTTGTCCCTGTCTTGAGGAGAGACAGTCTCTGTCCCTAGATGAATTAAGGAGTCCACCTCCTGTTTGAGAGGCCTTTTGAGAGGGGTCCCTGAAGAGGGACGGGGAGGGGAGTTTTTAAGAGGGAGTAGAAAAAAATGGTTACTAAACTTCCATAACTGTTGTTCTTTGAGATGTGTTGCTCATGTCCATTCCATGTTATCTAACTGTGTGTGCTCGCCACATGCACCGGTGCTGAAAGTTTTTCCCTCAGTGGTATCCATAGGGGACTAGCTCTGGTGGCCTCTGGAGTGGTGTGCATATACATTGGTATTAGGGGCACCACTAACTCCCCCCCTCCGTCAGTTCCTTCTTGCCAGAACGCCTGGGGAAGGAGGGTGGGTCATGGAATAGACATGAGCAACACATCTTGAAGAACAACAGTTATGGAAGGCTAATAACCATTTTTTCTTCTTCGAGTTCTTGCTCACGTCCATTCCATGTTAGATGACTCCCAAGCAGTATCTCCAGAGGCACGTAGGAGTTCGTGGATATGTTGATTGCAACACAGTTCTGCCAAAGCCAGCGTCATCTCTGGCCTGCTGAGGTTGTGAAGGTGTGCACTGAAAACCATGTTGTGGCCCTGCAGATATCCTGGATATGTACTTGTGCTAGGAAGGCTGCTGACGACACCTGAGCTCTAGTTGAATGGGCGTACAACCCGCGCCAACTTGTAGCAAGTACGTATGCAGGTAGTAATCCAATATGAAAGCTTTGAGAAGATACCAGGAAACCTTTCATCCTGTGAGCCACCACAGCGAAGAGTTGAGTCAATCTACGGAAGGGCTTGGTATGCTCTAAGTAGAACGCCAGAGCCCACCTGACATCTAGCATGTGCAAGCGCCTCTCCTCATTGGACATGTGAGGCTTTGGGCAGAACACCGGAGGAAAATGTTCTGGTTAACATGAAAAGGTGGACGAGGCAGGAGGGCGAGGAGAACTGCAGGCATAAGGAGTGGGGAGGGGCCCCCACTTGCTCTGGCCCAGGGCCCCACAAACCCCCAATTCACTTCTGCTTGCAAGTTTTCTTCCTTTGTTAAGACTCAGTATGGGAGGGTTTAGGATTTTTAAAATCACTCAAAATTGCATCTTCCAACCTCATTAGGGCTAGACTCATGCTCTGCTTCCTTCAACCTCAGCTCTATAAACCTTCTATAAAAGTTCAGCTTCTTCTGCATGTTGGGCATGATCCCTCCAGTGCAGTCTTGTTCTCAGCTGGTGCAAGATTGCAAGTTGCTGGGACTGTCTATAATGGTATCATGAGCATAAAGGTAAAGGAATTTGTAAGAGGGATTGAAGGGGTTGTAAAATGTAGTGTATGTGGTATTCCTTCTGTGGAGTAGGCTACGTGTATGAATGTAGGGCAGATGTAGGTACCTCTGGTTCAGTACAGGGCAAAGGAAGAGAGAAAGTATGTTTGATGGTAGTCTTGGGGGATTGTTATATCTTATGTTACACAATACTGTTCTTAACTGACAATCTAATAGATTTCTGATTTTTGCTTTTCCCTACAGTCTGTAACATAAAACATTTTCAAATATAATTCATGCAGATGCTGCTATACTGAATTT